CACCAACCATGTAGGAGGGTTCCCTTTACTCCACATCCTCACCAGCATTTTTTATTTCTTGTCTTTTGGATAGTGGCCATTCTAATTTGTGTGAGATGTTATCTCACTGTGGTTTTGATTTGCATTTCCCTGATGATTAATGATGTTGAGTATCTTTCCATGTACTTGATGGCCATCTAAATTTCTTCTTTGGAGAAATGTCTGTTCAAGTCCTCCACCATTTTTTAATTGGGTTGTTTTTTGGTGTTGAGGCATGTGAGTTCTTTATATATTTTTTATATCAACCCCTTATCAGATGAGTCATTTGTAAATATATTCTCCCATACTGTAGGATGTCTTTTGTTCTGCTGATGGTGTCCTTTGCTGTACAGTAGCTTTTTGTTTTGATGTAGTCCCACTCATTGCATTTTAATTGTTTCTCTTTGCCAAGGAGATGTGTTCGGGAAAAAACTGCTCATACTTATGTTCAAGAGTTTTATGGTTTCATGACTTACATTCAGAACTTTGATCCATTTTGAGTTTACTTTTGTATATGGAGAAAGTAATCCAGTTTCATTCTCTTGCATGTAGCTGTCCAGTTTTCCCAACGCCAGTTATTGAAGAGGCTGTCCTTTCCCCATTATGTATTTATGATTCTTTGATCATATAATTGACCATATATGCTTGGGTTTATATCTGGGCTCTCTATTCTGTTCCATTGGTCTGTGAGTCTGTTCTTGTGCCCATACCAAACTGTTTGATTACTGTAGCTTTGTAGTAGAGCTTGAAGTCAGGGAGCATAATCCTCAGCTCTGTTCTTCTTTTGTAAGGATGGCTTTGACTATTTGGGGTTTTCTGTGGTCCCATATGAATTTTAGGATTATTTCCTCTTCTTCATTAAAAATTCCACTGGTATTTTAATAGGGATTGCATTGAATCTATAAATTGCTTTGGGCAGGATGGCCATTTTGACAGTATTCTTCCTATCCATAAGCACAGGATAGATCTCCATTTATTGATGTCTTCTTTAATTTCTCTGTCTTATAGTTTTCAAAGTAAGGGTCTTTCACCTCCTTGGTTAGGTTTATTCCTGGGCATTTTATTCTTTTTCATGCAATCGTAAATGGAGTTGTTTACCTGATTTCTCATTCTGCTAGTTCATTGTTAGTATATAGGAATGCAACAGATTTGTGTATTAATTTCAGATCCTACAACTTTGCTGAATCCAGTTATTAGTTCTTTTAGCTTTTTGGTGGGTTTTTTAGGGTTTTCTATGCATATCATGTCATCTGCAAATAGTGAGTTTAACTTCTTACCAATTTGGATGACTTTTATCTCTTTGTGTTGTCTGTTTGCCGTGGCTAGGACCTCCAGAACTATATTGAATGAAAGTGGTAAGAGTGGGCATCCTTGTCTTGTTCCCAGTCTTAGAGGAAAAGCTTTCAGGTTTTAGCTGTTAAGTACAATGTTGGCTGTGGGTATGTCATATATGGTTTTTATGTTCAGGTATGTACCCTCTGTACCCAATTTCTTGAGTTTTTTTTATCGTGAATGGATGTTGGACTTTGTCAAATGTTTTTTCAGTATCTATTGAGATGATCATGTGATTTTTACTCTGTTTTATTAATGTGGTGTATGATATATCCTTGCAACCCTGGAATAAATCCCACTTGATAATGATGGATGATTGTTTTTTAATTAAGGATCATTGATAAACAATCTTATGAAGGTTTCACATGAACAGCATTGTGGTGTCAACATTCACCCATATTATCAAGCCCCCCCACACACCCCATTGCAGTCTATCAACAAAGTAAGATGCTATAGAGTCATTACTTGTCATCTCTGTGCTGTACCGCCTTCCCTGTGACCTATATTGAGTGCTAATAGTGCCCCTTAATCCCCTTCTCCCTCCCTCTTTACCTACCCTTCCCAACCTCTTTCCTTTCTTGGAGTCTGACTCTGTTATGTTCCATCATTTTTGTTTTGTTTGTATACTCCACAAATGAGTGAAATCATTTGGTACTTGCCAGCAAGGGGGACAGAGTGTCTGGCTCCCAAGAGATCTGGACCTTTTGGGCCAAGAGAGGGCTAAGGAGCTATCATCCACCTGCCCTTTCTCCTGAGGTGTGAGCTCTGTCCAACCCTTACCCTTCTAGCACCCCTCTCACTGCTGGGAAGTCTTTCAAACTGCCACCTGTGCTTTGGGTCTCAGGACCAGAGAGCATGCCTGTCTCCCACATACAGCTGAAGTCTGAGCTTCCCTGAGTGTTCCAACTATTTTCCTGGTCTCCAGTCCCACTAATCAACAGAACACAGTGTAATGTGGACTTGTGCTCCCAGAGAAGACCTACAGGGCCAGGTCTGCAGAGTTCCTGGGCTCCTACCCACTTCTGCCCCTTTCTTCTTCCACCTGTGAGTTGGGGTGGGGGAAGGGCCTGGGTCCTACTTGATCTCTGCTCTGCCACTTTACCCTTTTCTGTGTGGTCTTGTTTTACCCCAGGTGTAGGTGGTCTGTTCTGCAGTCTTCAGGTCATTTTCAGGTTTAGTTGTATTTATCTTCTATGTGTATCTGGGAGGAGGTTTCTGCCTTGCCTTCCTACTCTGCCATCTTTTTCTCTGCCCAGTAACTTTTTAAAGTTCATAAAAAGTAAGCTTGTTAATGGAAAAAAATGGTAAAAATCATTATGTGACAAAGCAATATCCATACAAGAGCTGCCAGGAAAGACAGATTTCATCCTTTGGGTCTCTCTTGGTCCATATTTCCCAGGATTATAAGTCCCTACCATCTAAGGGTCAGTGGCAACTTCGAGTGGAACTGAACAGACATATCCTATTAGCTACAAGCAATCTTTTTAGTGAACAAAGCTGTCCACTGAACCCAGGTAGACCAGCTTGTCACATCATGCCAAAGGGCTTTCAGTCATAACCTCAGATGACCCAAGATTGATCTGCTTACAATGACAACTGTAATGCTTCTGAACATTTGTACAGCATCTAGAAAACATCAACACTGAATGGGGAAACAATTAGTAACTGGGAAAATGCTGAATTACTAATCAGAATGCCTAGGTACTAGCAATGACTTCTCCAGGGCCATTTGCTAATAGAGTGTATGTATATTTAGTTTAATTCAATTGAGACAATAACTAAAAATTACTGGTAAATTTTAAAGCATGCTACATATTGTTGCCACAAATTACTAAGTGTGATAAAGCTACATGTAAATACTAATACAGTAAAAAGATGAAAGTAATTCGTTGGCAGGGAAAAAAATTCAGAAAAGGCTTCTTTGAGAAGGTGGCATATTAGTCTTTCAGACTGAATAAAATAGCATAAATGGTAATGGAGGAATGACAAATCTAGATAGAGGGTACAACAAATGGGAAAAAGAAAAGATGTACAGGGAACAGCAGAAAGTTTAGTATAGTTACAACAAATTCACAAAGAAGTATTAGAGAATGACCCCTACTACAAACCATGGGTTCCAACCTATTAGTGCAACACAAAAGCAGTATTAATAGGTTGTAACCAGCCTTGTTTTTAATGGAATAGAGTGGAAAATATTAGGGTGCACATATTAAAAGGGTAAACATTTTGCTTAAGTATTGTTTAAGCTGTACACACATACACATCTACACTGAGTCAACAATATTATGTTGTATTTCTTGTTGTGGGTTGTGGTAATTTTTGCTTTTAACACAGTCTAGATCATCATATAGCAAACTACCAGTAGTTGCAAATGAAGGAAGAGATTACAAAAAAATTTAATTTTTAAAAATCTGTAGTGTCTTAAATTCTCACTAATACCATGTACTGTCTGTCTGTAATTACAAGGAAAAAACATGTTTAAGGAAAGAAAATTATGCCAACACTTTTAAGCTTAAATAACTGTGAGGTAGATGGTTTCATTTAACGAAATAGGGATCAGAGGAAGGCATTAGATGAAAATAGAAATTTACACTTTGTGTGTACCAAGTCTGAAGGTTCACAGAAGACATGGGAGGTATATACATGTATCACGGTTATAATTAGAACTCAGAAGATAGATACAGTAGTGTATATATTTGATTAACAGCCACATAGGTGATGGTTGAAGCCAGTGACTTTCCAAGGAGAGAGAAGAGGACCAGACCAAACAGAGCACTGGGGAAGACCTGTGTTTAAAGAGTGAGAGATAAGGAGGAAAAGAAAGGAATCAAGAGGAAGAGGTCAGAAGGCAGGAACTGACTCAGGAAAGGGATCACTGGAATGGCTACACTGTCATCACATCCTGGTTTTACACTATAAGGAAGACCTTGTCTATGCTAATGGTGACTTTGATCTGGAACGGCACAAAGTGAGTGCCCAATAACATGAAGGATTGGTAGCCATTGCTGTGTTAATCCTTGGCATGGATGTCATAGTGATGCTATTAACTCTATAAGCACTATTAGCTCTTTTGAGGGTCTGGTTTAACTTCCAGCTCACCCTAAGCCTCCAATTCACAGCACCTTATACATAGAGATGGATCCTAACTCTTTCAAATAAATAAGTGGCTAAAATCCTGTAACCAAGACGGATTCCCAAATGACAGCAAAAATGGAACTCCTCCTCAGGCTCTTCTTCCTTTCACAGGTCATATAAATCTGTAAAGAGGCAACCACTGACTAAACTTTTGGTTTTCCTATTTTCTTATTGGCATCACACCCAGGAACTGAAATTATCTCATATTCCCTCCTGTTATAAAACATCATGATACCTAGCCAATATTTAAGCCCTATCTCGGCAATTTCCTAATTTTTCCTGTCTGATCCATAGTCTCTTCAATATCAACTCCATCCTGTGCATCCTTCATAAATTATCTTAACTATGTCAGTACTCCTTGGTTTCAGCTTTGTAGCCATTACCAATATTTCACACAAGTGGAAAAATGCCAGACAACCTGAACTTAATTATTACTTGGTATTAATAACTGACAGTAAGATTTAACAACAGAACACAATTTATTGAATAAAAAATTCAAGTAATAACATGTGAGGTAGAAGCAACAATTTTAACATATTTAACATTCATTAAAAAAAAAAGCTTTAAATGAGATTTCTCCCCAGATGGATACACTGAGATTAAAATCCATCACCATATGCATAAATTAAGCATTTTGAGGTAATTCTGTCTCACAAAATATCTTCATACAAAAAGAACCATGCCCCCAAAACAAAAGGGAATATGAACATAAATAGGTGAAAACAGGCATATACCTTTTCAATTTATCATCAATTCAGCAAACAAAATTTCTTATCAGAAGAAAAAGAATTTTGTATCAAAATCCACTATATAACACTAAATACTAAAAACAAGTGGGAGAGAAAGGGGGAATCAGAAATCAATTGGAAATAATCAATTTAAAATAACATTTAAAAGATTAGGTTTAACGTGAAAACATATGTGATACCAGAAAGCAAAAGTCAGGGGTAAAAAAAAACAGCAAAATGGCCTTTGGATCAGGGACCTGAAAATACAGAAAAGAACCACACCTATGTTCTCATCATCATAAGACTGGGCTTAAATAAGAAAAACAAATCAATTTTCTTACCTAATCTTTCAAAACACAAAAATATAAAAATGTACAAAATCAAATTAGTCTTGAAATTTTAGACTTAAAAGTTTCTTAGATCCAGAAGTTAATCCATCCTTAATGCTGTAAAAATTTATCAAATTCTTTCTAGGTCACACAAAACACATTTATAGTACCTATAAGTTTAGACTTTTCAGTTTTGGGTGGACCTGTCCTGAAAAAATAAATACAGTGTTAAATATTATATGGTGATAGAACTTTATGCTTAAAAAGATTCTACCAAAAAAATTAAAAATTAGAACTGTGAACAGAGTTCATTTACATCATTTCATACCCTCAGTATAAGAGGTATCTTCAGTCTAACCAAACATTGACTTTACAGCATACCCAAATCACTAATAATAGGCAGTAGTCAAAGGAGATCATCATGCTAGTATGGAAAAAGCTTTATCTTCTTTGAAAATCACCCAATATGTAACAAAGACTTTCATGTTCTCCTGATGGAAGATCAATGATGTAAAATAAATTAAGGAAGATATATTTAATAGAATATGGAACTTTATAAAAACATTTATGACATTATTTAACATTTTATAATTTGGTTTACTGGACTGCTAAAAAAATTATAAAGATTTTTATGGCAGTCTTTGGATAACAATGTACTTAAGCAATAAGGTTTATATATCTTAGCCTAAGACCTTAATACCATTTTTTAAAAAGATCATCTATTTAAAAAATAATTTGCAATATGACAAGGAATAATTTTACATTTTTTAATATAATGCTTTTTTAACATTGAAAAAAGGTTATAAAATGGGGTGAGAGGAACCAGAAGGGATAGCTGTTTTTCTAGATGTGTTCTAGGAAACATACATCCTGTTCGTAGGGCAACAAATCAAGTCTCTATTTTCCCCCTTTCTCACTTCATAAACTATCCTTCTCTATCACGTTTTATTTCACTTTTTGCTTAAAATTACTTTCTATGAATCGTTTTCTCCCTTTTCCTTTGTAAAATCAGATCTTTGAAATACGCTCATAGAGCACAATGAGACAATGAGTTTTATACAGGTACAAATAAAGTACTCACAACAGCACAAATATGACTACATACAAAACAAAAGGATATCAATTTTTCTGAGTTTAGATGATTAAGCAGCTTCGCCAAAGGAGGGTAACGGTTCAGTGAGGGCACACATCCCAGGAGAATCAGTTTATGTTTGGCTCTAGTTATAGCAACATTAAGACGTCGCCAATCTTTCAAGAGTTCACCAAGCTGAAATGTAATTTCCAATTATTTGAGTTTTCTTATATATCTTGAGTTTGTTCTGGAAAATTACAGACTGTCCTGAACTATTTTCCTACCTTTAAAAATATATATTGCAAAAAAGATTTGACACATTTAAAATTCTAGCCAGTTGGAAAAACTTGCTCAGAATCCCAACTTCAGTTTTATCTTGGGTATGATATCCCAGCCATAATTTAAACTTACTTAAACACATATAATGAAAATAAAGAATTGGAGGTATCCCTACTCACAGTAACATTGTTTGTAACAGTAATTAGAAGTGAAGATTCAGGGGACTTGTTAAATATACCATGACATGTATGTACAATGGAAAACTATGAAACTATAAATAACAGAATGAAATCTTTTCTGTGTATTGATAGAGAATCTCCAAGCTATTATTAAGTGGAAAAAGTAAAGCATGTAGAATAGCGTATATATTACCTTCTGTGAAAAAAGGAGGGAAATATGAGTCTTATTTGCCTGTATATGCATAAAGAAACTATAGGCTACCAAAAAAACATATATATATGTAATTATAAGGGTAAAACTGACAGAAGAGACTTTTTTCCTACATATATTTTAAAAGCGTATGGAGTTATCACATAGTCAAGAAAAATGAATCTACAGAAGGTAAAATTGCAATAAAACAAAATGTGGAATTATCTATAATTTGAAAAGTATATTTAGGGAAGCCTTTATATTTAAAATGCCCCAAATGCATGAGTCAAGAGGTGTAAGTAACACAAATGTCCACAGACAGATGAATGCATAAACAAAATGTGGTATATACATGCAATGAAATATTATTCAACCTTAAAAAGCAAGGTAATTCTGATGCATGCTACAACATGGATGAATCTTGAGGACATTATACTAAGTGAAATAAGCCAGCAACAAAAGGACAAATAGTATATGATTCCACTTACAGAAAGCAGAATGGTGGATGCCAGGGACTGGAGGGAGAAGGACTTGGGGAGCTGTTATAAATGGGGGTATAGAGTTTCAATTTTGTAAAATGAAAAGTTCTGGAAATCTGCTGCACAGCATTGTGAGTATACTCAATGAACTATACAACTAAAATTAGTTAAGATGGTAAATTTTGTTACATGTTTTTTGCCACAGTTTTTTTTTTAAAGGGGATAAAAATGTCTCAAATCAGCAGAAAGTACAATTAACTCACAGTTCCATCTTTATTACTTCTAACAAAAGATACTAGAATGATACTTTTGTCTCTTCCTTGGTATTTATCTACTGTATTAACTTCGACCAGCCCAACAGAAGAATGTGACAATAAATCATTGATGATCTTTAACTGCTGCCTGTATGGTGCAATGATGCCAATATCAGATGGATTACATCCAGCCTGAATAGAAAAGGACACAATTTAAAATGAAAATCCTGACTTTTGTTACTTAAGCTTTACTAAATTTATTAAATTAAATGTTTACATATTGAACTCAACTGATGTTTATAATAGACCTTCCTATTGCAAGGAGAAATGCAATTTTTGAATTTGCTCTAAATTTACATCCATATTTCCTGAGATGAAATCATTTCTCAAAAAGTGCTCCCTTGATTTTTAGAGGTTCACGACAGTAAAATGATTTGCATGCCACCAGAACAGTACTGCTACACAAAAAATAGCACAAAGAAATACATTTCAGTTTATGAAATCCCTTACACTGAAGTTTTCAATCCCCAATCATACTGACTTACAGCCCATATTAACACAATCAGAATTATCTGATATTACAAAAAGTTATCTTATATGGAAACCAAAAACACCATTATAAAAAAATTATGTAGTCAATAATTTTCTCAAAAGAAACTGGGCTTCAATCCTCTTATCTTAATATACAAGGGTTAATTAATGCTAGAGTTTAGTTCTTTGCATTCTAACATTCTATTATTCTGTACTTTAATATTAATTAGCCCTCAAAATTAAATTATAAATTACCTTAATAAAAATTGAGGTCAAGAAAACTATGAGTTTGGCTTCTGTTATATTGCTCACACCACTCTTTTCAACTTGTTCTGGTGCCGGAACCTAAATAAAAAAATTTGCATCCTCTTGAAAAACAGTCTCTAAAGTTAAAAGTACTGCTGGTACACAGGTAGCTAGAGAGATTGTACTACCAGATGAAACAGATGAAAAATCTTTATCTTAAAGGTTAAAGGTAAAAAAATTAACACGAATGATGCTAGTCACCTTCAGAAAAGCCACCCAAAGGCAAGAGTTAGACTCAAATCTCTATAAAACCTGACCACACATTGGCTTCACATACTTAAGTTTATTATCCCCCATTCTGGAGGGATCAAAGGAAATGTAAGTAATTTGCCCAAGACCTCACAATAAATCATGGTATTAGGATTCAAACTTAGATATGTCTCTAATTTCTATGTTCTTCCTATTTTCTTGTTGCCTTTTTATACAAATAAAGTAGCAGGTAAGTAGCAGATCAAGTTCCCCAGGTTCTACCATACCTGTAAAAGCTCTCCAAGGACTGTTTTGCTCCTACATCATCCCTAAGTCACCATTATTTTTAATACAACTTACTTGAAATTCTGAAGCTAAGAAAGAGCAAACCTGAATAGCAAATATAAAGAAGCTGGATAATCATTTGTGAGGTAAACAATTATGAATTATAAATATACATTGGAATTGCAGTTTATAAAGACAGTCATCTGTGAGATCAGTTTATCTGAATAAATTTCCCAGAGACTGCCTGTCTCTAATTCTTGAATCTAAAATGCTCAGAGCAATATCTAAGAAATGAAAATTCCATCATGGTACACATGGTAAGGCCTATCTCTAAGAACCAGCTAACTCTGCCTATTTTAATAACAAAAGAGTATTATTTTAGAGTAATTTGCATACATATATTCACTATATTTTTATTTGAACTTATGTAAAGACTTCAATACTGAGAAGTACTATGTAAAACAAATGTAGTAATATAGGATCAAAATTTTGTTCTTAGTTCCTAGTAATAAGACTCAAGTCATTTAAGGTCCTTTTGAAGATTTTTATTTAATGACAAATTTTTAAGGAGATCTTTGTGTATATGTAGGGGCAGGAGGTAATATAATATATAGGAAATGTCAGTACTTTCAACTCAATTTTGCCATGAACCTAAAACTGCTCTAGAAAGTAATGTCTCCATTTGTAAACCCAATGCTTTCATAGCATCAATGCCAATTTCTTTTCTAGGAAATGTAATTACACACTTGAGTTCACTTTCTTGCTTTCCCTACTTCAAGTCAATTTTGACATCTAGCAATCCTCAGAATAAACCTCCTCCCAAAGATATTGGATCCATAGAAAGAAAAGATTATTTTGTGTTGAAGTACATGAAGTATGCCAGTTTTAACTGATAAACTCTAATGAAGCATTTGCTACTGAACACTGAGCAATTTAAACAATAGGACAAAAGCAGAAAAACTAAAAATCTTTGTTCCTTACCTTGTCCATATTAAGAAAACAAACAGGATTGTTTGGCTTAAATACTCCAATCAGCCAAGGATTTTCAGAATAATCAGCATAAAGTTCCAGTTCCAGCTTCACATCTTTGAAGTTAGGTAGGTTAATCACTGCATTGGCCACTTTGTCTGATCCACACTCCAGCTTTCCTTCATATGTCAATTTATTACTTAAAGACATAATTTTACTAAAGAAATTACAAAAACAACTTTTAGTTTGGACAGATGAAAATCAACATGAAAACCACTCACAGTGGACACTGTTACAAATACCTATTCATTCTGTACTGCACAGTTAATTGAACAACAGCATTCTTATTCCGCTCCAGCCGCTTGAATAAGCTTTCACTCATGCCAAGAGCTCTGTCAACAAATCAAATTGAGGGTTACCAATGTATTGGAAACTGTCCCTTAAAAAAAAAATCTAGTTTAAAATTTAAATTTCAGTGTCTGCTTACCTTGCTTCATGGTTTAGCACCAGGGGAGGAAGCTGCTGATGATCCCCCACCAACACAAATCTCCGTGAAAAAAAAAGTGGCCCTAGACATATTGGTTGGCTAATTTGAGAGGCTTCATCCACAATACAAAAATCAAAAATTTTACGAGAAAATATTGGATGATTTATTCCCATACATGTTGTTGCAACTATAAGCTAAAAACAAAAAAATAGGTCAGTTACTTGTCTGAAAAATATAACTTGTTTTTCCCATTTTTTAAATTAAAAGTTCAAAAAAAATTCTTTGTCTCCAGAACAGGTTCCCCAGTATTTTTTAATTCTGAAATATTTATATCATGTAAAAATATTTTTAATTTACTAGAAATTTTTAAAAATCAAGTAAATTTTCCGGACACTATAACAATGTTCAAATTGGGATATTTCCAAATGGAAATCTGAAATACTCAAGAGGCAATAAGTTAATAATTTTATTTTTTTTTTACATGACAACCAGGACTTTACTTCTCGGAAGATGGGACCCTGGGACCTGAGGAACAGCACAGTGGTATGTTCCCGGGTTTTCTGTTTGCCTCATATATTGCAGATTTAGAGCTGAAAAGGCTAGTAACTCAGGAACACCAATGGGTACAAACCAAAAGGAGCTCCAACAAAAGCCAAAGGAACAGGAATGGGAAAGCCTAGCGGACAGAAGACTTATATACAATAACTAATCCACACTAGCCAAACAACACAGAAAAAGCTGCCTCACCCCCACCACCACCACCAAAGGCTGAATGGGGAGCCTAGATTTCCACCCTTCTCAAAGTGTAGTGAGGTGCCCCCAAGCCCTGTGAGGTAGTCTTAGAGAAGGCCAAAGGGAGACAGGAATTTCATCCCTGCTGACTGGTAATATGCGCCCCCTACAGTGTCACAGGAGACTGTGTGGGAGCCTAGACTTCTACCCCAACCCACAGTAATGAGGAGCTCACCACCTTGTGTGTTAGCAGAGTCCAAACGGGAAACCTGGCCTTCAACCCCCACCTAGCAGTAACAAAGTAGTATATCCTCTTGCCTGTACTGGAGTACTATTACAGGAAGACAGTTAAACAGTTTTAGATAAAAAGATACAAAAATGCTCAGGTTTCATCAAAACTCACTTTTTATACACATAATCAGGGAAATCTCTCAAACTGAATAAAAAATAGACCATCAATACATGCCATCACCCAGATGACAGCAATGTTAGAATTATATGACAAAGATTTTAAAGTACCTGTGAAAAAGGAAATGATAAAAGACAGAAACTTGGAACATCAGGAGCAGAGAACATAGTAAGCAAAAATATCGACAAATTCAATAAGCTTTCCATCGCCTCCAAATTATGCTTGATGGTTAAAGAAAAAATAACATGGTCTAATGTAGATCTAAATGTACATAGAATAAATGTTTAAGACAATTATAAACAGGGAAAGAAAAGGGACATAAAGAGGCAAGGTTTCTAACTTTACGTGCACTAGTCAAATGATATCAAGATTCTAAATTATGTATACATAATGAATACCTAGAGCAAAAGAGTAACCACTAAAAGCTATTTAAACTGATACACACAAAAATACTATAGATAAATCAAAATGGAATCCTAAAAACTGTTCAAGTAATGTATAAGGCAGGAAAAAGCAGAGAAAATAGAAAACCACAACAAAAAATGGTAGGCTTAAGCTGAACATCTACCAGTAATTATGATGCTTTCTACAAAGAAGTCACTTCAAATTTAATGATAGAGGCATGCTGAGAGTGAAAGAATGTGGTATAATACTGACTGATTTTTCAATTGCTGAATGATCCACCAGTCACAATAAATCCCACTTGTTCATGGAGTATAAATCTTCAGGCAGCTGAATTCAGTTTGTGAGCACAATGTTGAAAATTTTTTTCATCAACTATATACAATAGATTTTTTTTTAGTTGTATTCATTCATTCATTCATTCACTCATTCATTCATTCATTTATTATTAAGGTATCATTAATTAATATACACTCTTATGAAGGTTTCACATGAAAAACATTGTGGTTACTACATTCACCCATATTATCAAGTTCTCCCCACACCCCATTGAAGTGACTGTCTTATCAGTATAGTAAGATGTCAGAGTCACTATTTGTCTTCTCTATGCTATCCAACGGACGTTTGAATGAAGGTGGAAAAGCAACTCAACGAGGTTTTCCAAGAAGTGGTGCTATAGCAATCGAACATTAATGGGCAAAAAAATAAACCTTGATCTAAATCTCACACCATATATAAAAATAAATTCAAAATGGTCAGACTTAAATGTAAAACATAAAAGTGTAAAACTTTTAGGAAAAAAATAGAAATTTTCAGCATCTAGAACTAGACAGTTCTGAGACCTGACAAAAACAGAATGCATAAGATTAACAAATTTATATACTGGACTTCATCAAAATTAAAACCTGTTCTGCTACAAAATGTCCTGTAGAGAGAGGATCACGGGAAGATGGAGGCGTGAGTAGTTCAGTTGAAATCTCCTCCCAAAAACATATATATTTATGAAAATACAATAAATACAACTATTCCTATAAGAGACACCAGTGGATACAGTACAACAGCCAGGCTACATCTACATCTGCGAGAACTCAACATCACACGAAGCGGGTAAGATACAAGCTGCGGCCTGGCGGGATCTGAACGCCCCCCCCCACCCCAGAACCCGGCAGGAAGAAAGGCGTTGGAACAGGGAGGGAGTGAAAGGCCAGGACTGCTAACCAACCAGCTCTAGAAATCCGCACCCTGAGCGCAGACACAAGGTGCACAGGGTGCTGGTTATTAGAAAAATAGAAAAGCAAAACCTGTGGGCAGATCCTCCCAACCGCTGCCCCTGAGACAAAAGAAAAGTGAGTGCTTCTGGCAAGTCTTAAAGAGACAGGGACCCCACAGCTGGACGCAGTGATCCCAGCACAGTTAGCCAGCAACTGGGAATCCAGGGGAACTTTAGGCGCCCTAACACCCTGGGCAGCAGCACAGCTCTGAAGACCCTCACGGAAGTCCCCGAATTGGCGTGGACCCCGACACACTGGCCCAGTAGTGGGAGAGTGGACCGCGTGACAGAAGCAGCAGCACCGGAGGAGACCGGGAGTGGCCCATGTGTGCTGGCAGCGCCAGAGGGGACCAGGAGCGGCTCGTGCGATCCCGCAGGGGAGGCAACTGAGCAGCCCAGGAGTGGCCTGTGCGCACCGGCGGCAGTGATGCCAGAGGAGCCCAGGAGAGGTGCGTGTGAGCCTGCAGCGGCGGCAACTGAGCGGCCAGTGTGTGCCAGCGGCAGCAGCACCAGAGGGGCAAGGGAGAGGCCCGTGCGCACCTGCAGCAGTGCCAGAGGGAGCAGCCGTGTTCCCAGCAGCTAACCGGAATCACAGCCCAACGCACAGCCGCCGAGGCCAGACCCAAAGGCCGCTGCTGGCACACAGCAGCCTGGCAGGGGCGCCGCTATGGCAGAGAAGCGCACCTGGCGTGCCTGCCACTCCCCGCAGGGCTCCGCGCTGCTCTGAAGGAGACCCCGCCCACAGCAGCTTAGGGGACTAACCCGGTGGCTGCTCCAGGAGTGCGGGTAACCAACACAGGCAGCGGAGAAGGGCAAGGCATCCAGCAAGCAGGAAAGGACTTTCTTCTCCCAGCTGACACACCTGCAACCTGCCCACAGCCACCACTATAACCATGAAAAGGCAAAAAAATTTAGTCCAGTCCAAAATAGTTCAGACAACCCCAGAAAGAGGATCTGCAGAGACAGACCTAACCAGTCTCCCTGAAAAGAATTCAAAATAAAAATCATAAACATGCTGACAGAACTGCAGAGAAATATACAAGAGCTAAGGGATGATGTCTGGAGGGAGATTACAGAAATGAAACAATCTCTGGAAGGATTTAATAGCAGAATGGGTAAGATGCAAGAGGCCATTGATGGAATAGAAACCAGAGAACAGGAACGCATAGAAGCTGACACAGAGAGAGACAAAAGGATCTCCAGGAATGAAACAATATAAAGAGACCTGTGCAACCAATTCAAAAGGAACAATATCCGCATTATAGGGGTACCAGAAGAAGAGAGAGAAAAAGGGAAAGAAAGTGTATTTGAAGAAATAATTGCTGAAAACTTCCCCAAACTGGGGGAGGAAATAGTTGCTCAGACTACGGAAGCACACAGAACTCCCAACAGAAGGGACCCAAACAGGACAACACCAAGACACATAATAATTAAAATGGCAATGATCAAGGACAAAGACAGAGTATTAAAGGCAGCCAGAGAGAGAAAAAAGGTCACCTACAAAGGAAAACCCATCAGGCTATCATCAGACTTCTCAACAGAAACCTTACAGGCCAGAAGAGAACAGCATGATATATTTAATGCAATGAAAGAGAAGGGCCTTGAACCAAGGA